TCTCCAATAGATCGATTGCTACCTGCCTATCCGGCGGGTAGTGAAGACGTGCCCTGAGAAAGCAGGACTAGAACAAGAGTAGTGGACACCTAATCTGGAGAAAATTTCCTGTCCAAATGAGCTGTTTTATCCTCAGACTGAAACTGCTATGAATTGCCTTCAGAAGAATTAAGTGACTAGTTTCTTATCCAGTTTTTAAGAGTTTGCTTAAAGTTTTAGTCTCTTAGCCCTACAAAACATTCTACAATTAGCAATTTATCTGCAACTCCCAGACCTGATGAGTTCCACCTTCTCAGATTCAGAGCACTCTTCTCTCTATTTTCATTTTACTTGTGCATTTAAGTGAAGAAGTTAGCCTCAAGGCCATCACTGACGCAGGAGCTCGTTTACAGGGATCCGAGATCTATGAGTACCTGTGACAGCCCTGTCAACCAGCAGCAGATGCAAGATCTATTCCTGGACTTCTGAATTTCAGCTTTATGTGCCTGGACAGTCTCCAATATATGATATACTCATGTTAGTTGAAGTGTATCCTCTAGTTCCTGAAAATTCTGACATCCCAGAGCAGTCACTTCCAAATGGTAACATCGTGATTGGAGAAGCCTCTGCCAACTCCCCATTTTAACCCCATTCTCTAAATGATATATTCTCCCAAATGCCATCTCCAGTTTTCCAATCTAAAGCAAGTCATCTCCTTTGCATGCTGTTCCAGAGTTACCATCTACAGTTGCTAGGCAGCAGCTGTGCTCCTGACCAACATCCACATATTTGTGTGAAAATAATGAAACTTGAATATACAACTGCCACTAATCAAATACTATTAAACAGCTACAATAAATTAATATTAGTATTAGAAATAATAGTATCGACTGTCACCGTAACTAGCTAACTACTGTCTTAAAAGATAGAATATACTCAACAGAAGAAAATAAATGTAGCTGTTTATTTTTATATTTGAACAAAAAACAGGTCAGGCAGTAATTCACCTCTTCTTTTTCCCAATTAGTATTATGTACTTTATAAAAAATCTATAACTGCAGTTCACAATAGAATACTTGTCTAAACTGATTATGCCATCCAGAAATTCAGTCTGGAAAAAACTGGCCTACACTTACAATGTAGGTTGACATAGCGATGTCACTCAGAGGTGTGCAAAATCCACATTATTGAGCAATATAGCTATGCAGACCCAACTCCCAGCGTAGATACAGCTAGGTGCATAGATACATCACTCAGGGAAATGGTGTTCCTACATTGGCAGAAAAATCCCTTCGGTCACTGTGTCTATACTATGGGGATATACCAGCATAGGTATGAAACCATGTCTATGCCGGTATAGCCCCCATAGCATAGAAATACCCTATGATCTCCCTCGTTCAGTCCTTTACTTCATTAAGAGCTTGATCTTGCACATCCAGCAAAGCTCCCACTTATTTCAGTGGTGAAAGATCAGGCCCTAAAGACGGGTAAAATTTTCAAAAAATCTAAGTGATTTGGGAGCTTAGGCCTATACCCACAAAGGAACTTAGGTGTTGCAATGTCCAGTGAGCTCTGGGATATTCTGATGTAGGTCTCCTCAGTCTCTTCTGTTGAAGCTGTTCCACTTTATATAAATAATTCAATATGCATTGGGCCAGAGTGAGTGAGAATGACTCTTAAGATCTGATAGATAGGACATTCACTTGAGAGGTGGGAAACCAGGTTCAAATCCTTTCTCTTCAGGTGGGGGGAACCAGTGTCTTCCCATCTCCTGGGTAAGTTCCCATACCACTGGGCTAATGGTTACCACTGCCATTGCCTCTCTTCCCCCCTTGCCCATTTTGTGTGGAATTAATTATGCTTTCAGAATGCTCCTGATCAGACCTTGCAAGCAAAATGGGCATTGCCCTGCCTATCTTGAAGACTACACCGGGGCTTAGGGATGGCCTCTCGACAGGCACCTAGACAGAGGCAATGTGTGCACATCCAGCATCAAAAGCTTAGGCATCTAAGGCCTGGTCTACACTAGGAGGTTATGTCGAATTTAGCAGCGTTAAATTGAATTAACCCTGCACCCGTCCACACAACGAAGCCATTTAGTTCGACATAGAGGTCTCTTAAATTGGATTTCTGTACTCCTCCCCAACGAGGGGAGTAGCGCTAAATTCGACATGGCCATGTCGAATTAGGGTAGGTGTGGATGGAAATCGATGCTAATAGCTCCGGGAGCTATCTCACAGTGCACCAC